ACATTGTACCAAGTGAAACAAGCCAGACACAAAAGGACAAATATCGTATGATTCCACTTCTATGAGTTACCTGGAACAATCAAACTCGGAGCCAGAAAGTAGAAGAGAGATTGCCAGGGAAAGGGAGAGCTATTGTTTAATAGAGTTTCAGTTTTGCAAGATGAAAAGAGTTTTGGAGATGGACGGTGGTGATGGCTGCACACCATGCAAGTACAGCAGCCCCCCTAATCTGCAGGGGATGTGTTCCAAGACCCCCAGTGGGTTCCTGAAACCACAGACAGTACTGAACCCTATATATACTATGTTTTTTTCCGGTATGTACATGAAAATGATAAAGTTTAATTTATAAATTAGACACACTAAGAGATTACTAACGTATCATAGAACTATTATAACAAGATACTGTACTAAAAGTTACATGACTGTGGTCTCTCCCTCGCTCGCTCTCTCTGATAACTGATCTGATGACGGAGATGGTGACTAAGTGACTAACAGGCCGGTAGTGTGTACAGCGTGGATACGCCGGACAAAGGGATGATTCACGTCCCAAGCGGGATGGAGCAGGATGGTGTGAGATTTAATCACGCAACTCGCAACAGCGTGCAATTTAAAACTTATATTTCTAGAATTTTCCATTTAACATTTTCAGATCACAGTTGACCGTAAGTAACTAAAACCCCGGAAAATGAAACCACCGGTAAGGGGGGATTGTACTTTATGCCACTGAACTCTGCGCTTAAAAGTGGTTAACATAGTAAATTTTATGTTTTGTACATTTTACCACAATAAAAAGAAGTAAATAAGCAAGCAACAGGGGAAAGAAACCTCTTGGAGGGACACTGAGGAGTGGGGCCACCTTGAACAGGGTGTGCAGGCAGTTAAGGCAGACGTCCAGAGTTAGGGACGTAATTGCCCTAGAAGGGAACTAATTCATTTTCATCCTTTGCTGCTGCAGTTAAGCCTATACTCTTAGACTTCAGAGGGAGGAGCAGGTAGGGTGGGGAAAGGGGCTGCTGGGGTAGACTTTCTGGCCAGCCTGGTATATCAAGGATGGTTTCAGCTCCAGAGGGCTCTCTCTTCAAGCATGAAGTCAGGCCATCCAACTTCTGTGCTCCTGCCTCTGGTCCACAGCTCAACTGGGTCGCTCTTAAGGACAGCTCAGAGCCAGCAATGGACAAACCCCAGCAACCATGAGCAACCTGGACACTCAGATATTCCGAGCCCATTTCTTCTGAGAGCTGCTCATCTCCAGCCCCAGGTGTCCCTTCTGATTACGTACTGACCGGCCACTTGGGAGCGGCGGAAGGGTCATGGGCAGCTGCCAGGATCAGTCACACAGGGCAGGATTTTCAGCGGGGGAAGCAAGCATCTGCTCTGCGTTAGCAACACAGACCGTTCCTCACTACCTCCCTACAATGCTTTAAAAACACCCGCCCACTTAAAAGATCAACTGAAATGAAATCCGTTGGAGAAGACACACCATTCAAGTGGGTGAACTAATTTCATTTTGTTTTGGGCGTGGGGTGGGAAGTTATTCAACATGGTAAACATGACTGCATCTGCCGGGAATTTTGTTTCTCACGTCAAAACCAAGAGGAGGCTAGCAGACACAGCCTGCCAGGAAGGTGAAGGTGAGGCGAAGGCCTCTTGGTGTGGAAACATTTAACAAATTCACTGTTCCAGTTTCACCAAGCGGTACGCTCAAGTTGATAAAACAGAAGTTAGTCAGGGAAGGACGGTCAGTCTTGGTACTAACCAATGAGTTAATCACCAACCACTGGAGGCAGTATGAGAGCCAAGCATAAGACAAGGTCCATTTCTCAAGTGGGTCATTAACTATCTAGAAAGACAAAACCAAAATGCTTGACAGAAAAAACAGAGAGTAAGTGATCAAAGGCTAAACGACGTGGTGCAAACTTCCAGTGCCGCTGCAGTTCAGAGGACAGCAACGATCACTCCAGCCTGCCCTCCGCGCGATGCCTGCTCCGCGGCCCCTCCCACTGCAACCCATCCCAAAGCCGGTTCTTGGCTTCCTCCTGCCACTGTTCAACAAAACCTGCTTCTCTCCCAGTCTCCCCCACGGTAAACCTTGCACAAAGGGCCTCTGGCCACGTGCCTGACCCATCGCCATCCCCTTTTCCACTGGCTCCCACCAGGTGCACTGGCCTGCTTTCCGTTCCTTCAACACACCCAAAGGGCCACACCGAGGCCTCGGGGCCTTGGCACGCATAACCCCCGCCTGAGACACACTCTGCTCGCAGCCCACGCACCCTGCCTCGCCAGCGGCCAGCTCCTGCCATCTCCCTCTCCGTGTCAACGCCCTCACCTCAGCAGGTTTCCTCGTTTCTGTCCCTCCCGTGCCCCATGCACTGGCTTCCGTGACCACTGCAGCTTTGCCATACTGTGTTTGTGTTCCCTGCTGCCTCCAGCACTGAGCTGTACCCCCAAATGGCAGGGCCACAACCACTCACCCGCACAACCCCCGACCCAGCACAGAGCAAACATTCCAACATCTGTGAAACGCACAAATCACAGTGAAGGCTGGTCACAAAGGCCCATGAAAAAGAGAAACTGCATCAGACCTCGGAAGAATAGGGTTTCATAGTTACCACCTTGTCTTCCTGCCCGGTGAAACCACCTGAAAGTCAGCTAATGAAAAAGGGTTCTCAGTATAGCAGCTAACACACCCAGAGTGCCGATGTGCCAGGCTCTTCTCTAAGTATGGGCCACACAGTGACTCATTCTCAAAAGCATCCTAGGCAAATGATTACCCCCATGTCACAGATAAAGTAACAGGCACAGAAAGACTGCTAACTTGCACAAGGGCACAAAGCTAGCAGTGGCTGAGCCGGGATCCCAACCCGGG